GTGGTTTGAATGAGCTTGCCTAGGGAGTGGCACCATTAGTAGGTGTGGCCTTGTTGGAGGAGGTGTGGCTGTGTTTGAGTAGGTATGGCCTTGTTGGAGGAGGTGTGGCTTTGTTGAAGGAGGTGTGGCCATGTGTGAGTAGGTATGGCCTTGTTGGAGGAAGTGTGTCATTGTGGGTGTGGGCTTTGAGACTTTCCTCCCAGCTTCCTGGAAGTCAGTCTAGCTGCCTTTGGAACAAGAGGTAGAAAGAACTCTCAGCTCCTCCAGTGCCATGCCTGCCTAGACGGTGCTGTACTTCCTGCCATAATGATAATGGACTGAACCTCTGAACCTGTAAGCCAGCCCCAATTAAATGTTGTCCTTTGTAAGTGTTGCCTTGGTCATGGTATCTGTTCACAGCAATGGAACCCTAATTAAGACACCTCCCAAGCTCTGCTGGACAGAGCATGTCATTACTAGGGTACCAGGTTAGAGCATGTCATCACAGCAACGGAATGAAACTGGGTACCAGGCTAACTCTGTCAAACAGGTTGTGCTGGTGAATCTTGGTTGCTGACAGGACTGAGGAATGCCTAGGAGATGAGTAAATCACACCTTTGGGTTTATCTGTGATGGCGTTTCCATAGAGGATCGGCTCAGACAAGCGCTCCCTTAATGTAGTCAGTTCCTCTAGACTGAGGACCCAGGTAACAGAAGAGGGGAAAGCCCACAGTACAGCCATCCAAGAACCCGTGTGTGTGCGTGTACCTGTGTGTGTCTGTGATGCGTGTGTAGGTATATGTTTGTGTGTGTCAGTGCATAGGTGTATGTCATGTGTATGTTTGTGTTGTGTATATGGTATGTATGGTGTATATGGTATATCTGTTTATCACATATGTGTATGGTATGTGTGTATATGGCATGCATAGATGTATATGATGTGTATATGGTGTGTGTGTATATGGCATGCATAGATGTATATGATGTGCACATGGTGTGTGTGTATATGGCATGTACATATGTATATGATGTGTATATGGTGTGTGTGTGTATATGGCATGCATATATGTATATGATGTGTATATGGTGTGTGTGTATATGGCATATATAGTCTGTATGTACATGCATGCATGTATGTATATATGTATATGATGTATGTATGGTGTGTATATGTCTATGGCATGTACATGCATGTGTGTATATGTGTGTGGTGTGCATATGTGCATGGTGTGTACATACATGCATATGCATGTGTGTGTGTATGATGTATTGCATGTATAAATGCATGCTTATGATGTGTGTATGGTGTGTGGTGTGTGTGTGGTGTGTGCGTATGGCATACATGCATGTGTGTGTATCATCTTTTACTAGCATGCTGATCTTCATCTTTAGTGTTAACTGAGTTATCAAAGTGAATAAGAAAATCCATCCCATGAATCCTTGTTTGGGAGCACAACATGGACAGGAGAGGCTGGTGAGCCTCCACATCCTCACAGGGAGACAGGGGTACGGCAGTCGGTGCTCAGACACCGGGTGCTGCCTCTCTCTTAGGCTCTCATATCCACACCATCATCCGGTCGGGTGGCTGTGACTAAGTCCGTCCTCTTCCTGTTGTTTTTTTTTCCTGACCCTCAAAGGCATCACCCTCACCACGGCCTTCCAGGCCATCTCGATGATGCAGGTGTAATTATTTTCTTAAAATCGGACCCCCGCCCCCGCAACCCCAGTCAGACCCCTCCAGTGTCTCCTCTAAATGTTTCTTCATGGCCCTCAAAGCCTGTCTAACATTTCAGCTCCTCTCTTCCCTCTCTCAGCCCATCTCTCCCCGCGGCTCCACACCGGCCTCTCCGACGCTGCGGTATGTCCAGCATGCCCTGACTTCATCACCCCCTCAATCCACGCTCCGAGATATCCCAGCTTCTCCCCCTTTGTGTGAATGGCTGTCTCTCCCTTTCAGGCATCAGACCTCCCGGTATAAATTATCACAAACCTTACACACAGACACACACATGCACACACAAACACACACACTCACTCATGCACACGTACACACACACACAGGCACACATACATGTATGCACACACACACACTCACATATGCACATGAACACATACTCACACACATGCACACACATACACACACAAATATATATTGTATATATATACACACACACACAAATGTACATATTGTATATATATATACATATGATCTATGTATTAAATATAATTAATATATTAATATACTTATTATCATCAATGTAATGAATATTAATATTATTGAGCATAATATAATTATTATAGTATTGTTATATTATGTATAATGCATATATATCCACATACAATATATATATATACTTTAAAAATACATATACATATATTTAATTTAGTCCCAAACCCACCTTAGCCTTAGCTATTTCTTATTGTCTTACTTTTGCTTCTGCTGTGTACTGAACGCCATCTGAGGAGACGGCATCAGATCTCCTAAACATGTGCCTGATCTCTCCCATGGGGAAGAGGGGCTGGGAACCCAACACCATTTGCTGGTACCTGAGCCCAGTGTCACTGCGTCACGGTTAGATCATGGCTTTGGGGGAAGCATCTCTGTAATAGGCGCGTTTGCTTTCCTCAAGGCACATGCATCAACAAGGGTCTGCAGGAAAATACACCATCGTTCCCAGGCTGGCCCAAGAGCCGGGCCTGCAAGGAGGCTACAGTTGTCACCTGTGCTAGCAGAGAGTCTGTAACTTGGTGCCACAGGCTGCTCCTTCCCACCAAACATCTGGTGGAACAGGCGAGGAGAAGACAGTTAGGGTTGTTCTGGCATCGTGTTAAATTGGCCTCAGAGCCAGGGGTGGTGTGACTGAATTATAAGGAGGCTGGAGCATTAGATAAGATTCTGGGGGCTTTGGCTCACAGTGGGCAATTTACCTCACTTAGCAATGCAGACAGACTTCTGCGCAAGTGTGCATGCGTGCACACATGTGTGCACTTGTGTTGTAATTCTCTGAAGGCAGCGTTCCCTGGAAGCCAGAGCTATTCCTTCCGGAAGGGGTTTCCCTATTCCTTGACTGTCAGTGGGCGTAGTGGGGGCATCGCAATGCCTTGTCTCATTTCCTGCTTATGGCTCTTCTGTGTGTCCCTGTCTCCCTGTCCATTTCACGTTCATCAGTCAAGCAGGCTGGCCCTATCTGTACGATGAGGATGTTAAATTCTAGCTTATTCCGGATCTCTGGGAAGTGGTGCAAGCGACACACTCCCTCAGCCAACTGAAGGATGTCAGAAAGGCACCGCATCACCTGTCCCATGGAGCCTCCCCAGTCTCCTGAGCTGGTGGCATCTCCCGCTTTCCGTCTTTCTCGAGGCTTATGCCAGAGGTGTGCCAGTGAGCAGTTCCCAACCAGTCCCTCCTGAGGGAAGGGAAGGAGATGGAGAAGCCCTGATTTGCCTCCTGATTTCCATCCATGAATATTTCCATCATGGCTGATTTGGGGTAATATGGCGTCAGTAGACCTGGAGCTGGGAGGGGGTTTGGTTCAATACTCTCTGTATTCATTAATTTTCTGTTGCTTCGATGGAATGTCCCACCTAAAACCAACTTAGGAGAGGAAGGGTTTATTGCAGCTGACTTTGCAGAAGGAATGCAGTCAGTCATGGTGGGGGAGGTGTGGCCACAGACCCACAAGCCCTGCTGGCTGTCAGGACTCAGAGAGACCAGGAAGTGTGGCCAAGCTGTAGAACCTCAAGACTGGGTCCTAGTGCCCTACCTTCTCCATGGAGGTCCCATAGCCTCCTGAAACTCACTGGGGAACCACGTGTTCAAACATATGCCCCCCCACCAAACATTTCCAGTGCAAACTACGATGCTTCGTGAGGCCTCTTGTTTTGTGCGTGGATTTCTGACCGTCCTCCCTTTTCTTATAACGACACAGACCAGATGAGGACATTTGAGCTCATTTACTCACAGTTACCGGTTTAGTGGCCCTTGTTACAAACAAAAAGTCACATGGGGTTCTGGGACTGGAACTTTCTCCAGGGCATGGACGGGGAGGTGGGAGGAGACACGTTGGAAACCTGCCTGGTGCGTGTTAGCGCATGAAGCATGCGTGCTTCTGCCGGGAACTGTGGACTCTAAGCTGTTCATTGCCCTTCCCCTTCTCTCTTACAGAATGTTCTAGTTTACTCTCTGTGGCTGCAATGAATTACTCATCAAAAGCAAGTTGGGGGAGAAAAGGGGCTTTCTGGCTTACAACTCCGTCCAGGCTACAGACCATCCTTTGGGGGAAGTCGAGGCAGGGATCTGAAGTAGCTGGTCACATGATACCCATAGCACGGGCAGAGAGAAATGAATGCGCCCAGGGTCCAGTCCATGGAGTAATGCCGCACACACTCAGGGTGGATTTTTCCACCCCGATTAACTCATTTAAGAAGAAACTCTTCGCAGTCATGGCCATAGGCCTGCCCAGTTCTTCCTTGAGAACCTCTTCCTGGGTCTCAGTACATTGTGTTAGGTCAACAATCAAAACGGAACGATATCGCATGAACTGAGCTGTGTCCAGCCCTAAATCCCTTTCCCTTATTGAATACAATTTCAGTGATAGTATTTTGGGTTAAATAAAACCTTATAGGAATCGCTTCCGTCTGTTCCCTTTCTAGTGTGGATTGGCACAATTTAAGAGATTACATCATGGCTGGGCCCCAGGAGAGTAGACAGGGCCACCTCTCACATGGAAAGGCCTGTTGCTCTCGGGGTTGTTTCTTGGCCCCTTGCTTAACCCTATGACCTACCCTCCGGCCCCTCCACATAGGCTCACCCATCATTCTGCAGTGCCGGACAGAGGTCTGGAGGGGAGGCGTCTAGGATACGCTAATCCCCAGTGTTTTTTTTCCCAGCATGCCCCACGTGTGTTTTATACCAAGTTTTCCAATGGATGTCTACGGAGAGACTTGCCCCTAACCCCCTGTCCCCAGCCCGGCTGGCAGTGTCTGCGGCTCACAAGTCATCCATAATGGGGCCCACTCACCGGCTTCGGATGAGGTCCTTTTTAAGGTTTACTATTTCCTTGTCTACAAACTTGGTGTTCTTCGTTGTCTTGTCTGAGGACTGCTGGGAAGACAGGAGAGGGAAGGGGAACATTAATACGGGTACTCCAGGTGACGCTGGATTAACATAAGAGGCCACTGTATCTAGCGAGAATCAATTTACACAGAGCAAGGTTCTGCTCCAGCTCGTGGTTTGGGAGGCTCTGGGCTGTCGCTGGTTGGCCCTGTTTTGCTTCCGACCTGTGTCAGGGTCGGGGAGTATGGCACAGCAGAACGGTCTACTTCTAAAGCTTGTGGGAAACACACTGTGAAAACCTTTCAGAAGGACCATTCGTGCCCCTTAGACCCAACATCTGTGGCTAAGCATCCTGCAGGAGAATTTCCCTGACAGGGATGGATGCTGGGGCTCCCTGGGCAAGGCTGCTCGGTTGCTCGTGAAGACAAACACCTGCACATGCCACAAGAGAAGATAGACTAAACAATCCGGATCCATCTAGACTGAGGAATACTCTACAGCCATGAAAAGTGATGTCCTTCCAACAGAGTGATGCAAGTACCTTTATGGAAACAGGGGGATGTCTTGCATACTTTGACGGGAGGCCATGTTAGAAAGCACCGTTTATAATATGATTTTGGTTTCAGTTTTAGAAAAATAAAAAAAAAATGTACCTTTCAAAGATAGGGGAGGACATGGCCCCCAGATGTAGAGTTTTCTCTCTGGCTGTGGCTGTGGCTGCAGTGGGGTTTATTTATTTTTTTCTTAGCTGATGTGGATTGGATATCAATGACTTTGCAGTAGGTATGAGTTAGTTATATCATCCACACAGAGAAGAGCTTTAAAAAATGGCCACACGGGTGCTAGAGCGATAGCTCAGTGATTGGAAGCTCTGTCTGCCCTTGAAGATCATGGCTTCTCACAACCATCTGTAACTCCAGTACCAGGGGATGTCCGCCCTCTTCTGGTCCCCATGGGTACTGCATGCATGTGGGACATACTAACCCAGGAAGGCATATACACATACATATACACTGTGTGT